GATGTTAGGAGGTGACAAAACAGTTAAAGTATGCTGCTGGCTACAGGCAAGCAGTCAGCAGATGCAGACAAAAGGGTTTGTGACAAGAATAACTCTCTCTCCAAGGCGAGCAGTCAAGAGTATCCAAAATACCAATACCCTTTTCTCCTTGACATTGTCTTCTTACAGTCAGCATTTTATTGCCCTTTTATAGTAAAAAAACAAACCACAATTCTCTGAAATATCAATTTTGACTTGACTTTCACAATTCTCTGATCTTTACATCTGTATTGCCTTTTCCCATCAGCTAGATTTAATACTTGAACACTAATTGAAAAACAAAAGTTTAAAAGATTAACTGTAAAGAAAGCCACCGATAATAGGCTTAATGTGGTGAAATATATTTTAAAAGCTTTGGGCATATAAGGGGCTTGTTCTTGTTCTGTTCTTGTTTTTTGTTTTTTTTTAAGTGAAAATTAAGCATCTTATTCCGCTAATGAAGAAATAAGGAATGGGTAGAAATTAAAGCTTTGCTTGACAATAAGGGAGATTTACGTGCTGGAAAGTGAGTGTGAATGAGATGATGTTTATTTCAGAAGTGTGAAAAATCAGCTTATATATCTCCAGGAACAAAAAAAAGAGAGGAGAGGCTGTCTTCTTTCTAACCTTTGTAATTCCCCTTCTATTCTCTGTGACATTCATTCAGCTGCCAAGCATGTTTGGCAAGGCTTGAGCCAGTGAGCGCACTTCCAGTGACCGCTAACCTTGGTATGTCCTGACACTTATGATGAGTATCTGCAGGACACAGAAGGCAGGCAGGCTGCTATGTCAGGCTTTTATTATGTACTGCAGAGGCTGGGGACAGTCAGTTTAATAAAACAAATCATCCTTGAAGGTAAAGCAACTGGGAAGAAGGGGGGAGGGGAGGGAAAGAGAAAGTCTTTGCCGCACAGTCAAAAAATAAATAAATATAAAATAACCCAACAACTGAAAAGACAATGCAGCAGCTGATCAACCAGCAACTCAAGACAAAAACTCACTTCCGCCATGCCCTTATTTCCAGTGGTAGCATAAAGTGCACGTGCCTTGTCTGAAAACAAGGGCTCAGTCCTCTCTGTTGGTGTAAATTGGTGGTGCTCCACTAACTTCGTTTGAGCAATGCCGATTGACACCAGTCAAGGATCTGGCCCCACCTCTTGAGTTCTTAATGCACTTTAATTAACATTTTCCTCAAAAAGGAATTCAACAAGTATTTTTTTTTAAACATCTCTCTAAGACTACTGTAGCAGTTTTATGGAAGGGACACAAGTCAGGTCGAATTTGACTTTCAGACAACTTAAGACCATTAGGAATGTTTCCTTTACTATTCCAGTAGAAACAGTGTGTTGGGTTTTTGAAAATAAACATTCTCCTGCAGTGTTTTTGACCCAAATGTTGCAGCACGGTAGTTGCACATGAGAACTTGTGCAAAGGGAACTAGTCTATATTCATTGTCCTAGTTGAGAAAAATGGGAAGAGTTAAACATCAGAAATGGACAAAGGCAAATTAGATCTTTAAAGTATTTTGTTTGCATAAATTAAGATGTTGTTTTCAACCTTACTAAGCATGTAGGGGATTGTTTGTTTTACAAAACATGGCACAGATCCTTAGCTGGTGTAAATCAGCGTAGCTTCTGCCCTGGCCAATTTACACCACCTGAGGTTCTGGCTTGTGATTTTTTACTGGATAGTGTCACCAAGTTATATTTGTAGCGTGTACAATGAAGTGTCGTTTCTTTCTAAATCAGTCTATTGTGGGGGCGAAAGTCTGAAACCCACCTAGCCAGCCCCTCAGCAGACCCCATTGTGTTTCCTCCTGGTAAATGTACAGTATGATTATTTGATTGACTGCTGCCACCTGATGCTAAGAAAATGCTCTGGGTTCATACTAGGGATTGTTGATTCTATTAAAAGAAACCTGGATGGAGTTTATTTGTCACTGAAGCATTTTCTGCAGATGTTTCTACTACAGAGATGTTCAGTCAGTTAGGTGTAAAGATGTGCTGAATAGGTCACCATCACTTAGGGTCAGGGAAAAGCTACCCCCAGACACACAATTAACACAGCTGACTGATTAATTACCTACTGAAAAATCTGGCTAACAAACCATGCATCCAGTTAGATCTTTATTTGAAGGCTCTGAGCCTTACTGAATATTTTCATTTAAAAAAAATACTGCACTGTTTTTCTTTCTAGAAAGGAAAAATATTGGCCGACGTGTTATCCCATTGGAATTAATCACAATGCAGTTCACATTACAACATGCAAAGTAACATGTGTAATGCAGCCTGACGTGAAGAAGATAGTAGTAACACCACAAAAGGAATGAGTTATGAATAGTTCCAATGCATCTCTGGGAACACTGCATTATGAAGAGACCTCTCCAACCTCTGTGGGGCTCATTTAATCAAGGTGTTTGGGAACTGATCCCTGCAGTTCGTTTCACGGGGTTGGAAGTGAACCCACCTTTGCAGATTCAGTGGGAGGTGTGGGGTCAATGACGTTAAGTCTTTAAAGGTAACTCCCAGTCCTCTAGAGCAAATCTGAGAACCTCTTGCCTCCTCCCTTATATGTCTTTAGGGGGAGAGGTGACTGGAGTTGTCACACAGCTGTTGAGGGTTCACGGTGTTTTCCAAGGCATACTGTATGGAAAACCTTCATCGCCTGTTTGAAGAAATCTGACCTGCATGGGCTTAGGTTTACTGGCACAGGCCAAACTTGAACCCAGGCTGTTGCATTCGTGCTGAACATTTTCCACAGCTGTAACCGTGAGGCAGAATCCTGGAGGCAAACTAACTCGGGCCCTTCTGAGCTGGTGGCTTAACTATGTCTCTAGGGTGTCACTGATTTTATCAGATATCTTTATTACACTTTTGTAACATTGGGTCAATCGCTCCCTAACCACAGATTTCAGTGTCTCCATACCCCATTCGGGCAATACCAAGTGCCAGCAGCTGGAATTGCACAAACAGTAAGTGCAACACTTTATACAGCAACACCAGGAAGAGACAGGCAGGGGATCTCTTGTAAATATTTCATTAAACACTGAAACACAGAAAGATGTTGTCTGAAAACAGATTCATTTTTCTGAGCAGACAATAAGGTAGGGAAATGGTCATCTTAATCCCCGGTAATTATTGCTGTAATAGAATGTCCCTAAAACACACTTTCTCCATGTAGCCCCTTGAAAAAGAAGTTTTTGCAGCATGGAGGGTGGGGAAAGATAGGTGTTTGGGGCCAACTTCTGCCCTCAGATGCATGCACATAGCTCCCACTGATCACATGTCTGTCTGATGGGGAAATTTGGCTCTTAGAATGCTAGTGTGTCACCTGAGTGAGATAGGTCTAGTGCTTTATAACATGAGGCAAAGCATGAGAATTTTCAGGCCAAGTGTTTTTGAGGTTCTTTCTAAAGTTATAAGGCAAAAATCAGGCTTAGGTTAGAATATTGGTTAATCATAGGCCCTGATTTTGCAATGTGACGGACATGGGTGAAGCCCTCTGCACCTGCATGGCACCCTGCTGAATTGGACTCTGTGTGGTTGCTACTGTCTGCTCACATGCATCCCACAGCAGGGATCTCATGCATCCTTGAGAACTCCTTCTACTTGTGTATATTAATTCCTACCATGAGGAGACCCATCATCGCAATGGGAGTACTCGCAGTAGCAAGCACTATGTCTAGTAGAAAGTGTTTGCCTTGCTCTGTCTATAGCTATGGAGCTATGGCTCCATCATACATTGTTTTTCTGTAAATCTGTGGTCCTGGGGAATCTGGAAATGGCATATCCCTGCTAGCTGGTTGTTTGATTTAACCATGGAATTAGATGAACATTCAGAAAACAAATGGGTTAGACAGAGCCCAGTTCTCTCGCCACTTCATGCATGACGCTCCCATTGAAGAGTATGGTTTTTATTGGTAGGTTTCTGAAAAAAAAAAAGGAACAACTAGAATGGCTCCCAAGGAGGGTGTCTTGTGGGAGTTTCATGCACAGAGCAGCTACAGAATCAGGCCATTAGCTGATGGCTTGTTTGTTTGTTTGTTTTTTTAAACTATGAACAACCCTTCATGGATATCCTATTTCTCTAAGAGCTTTCAGCACGGGTTCTGACAAAAGTTAAACACAGAAATTCAGAGGTTCATGCGCCTTTCAATGCATGTATAATTTTCATATGAATTCTCATGCAGAGACTTTACCCATAAGTACCTGGGTAAAATTTCATGACGAGATTTATCTCCTTTAAGACAATTGCTGTTGTCCCCTCCCCCCAGCCCCTTTCTCTGCTAATTATATCTTATAAGTCCCTCACTATCTAAATCCAGACATTAACATTTCGTTACCTACATTCTGTAGTCAGACGTTGCAAAGATATCTAACACATGTTATAAAAGTTATTACTATGGTACTATATATAAACAGCTTTGCATAAGAGAATAAAGTCTGCCATATTTAGAAAATGCAGGTGCTATGTAAGCCCCTTTTTGAAAGAAAGAACTTAGCTCAGTTTCCTTTGAAGAACCAGAGACTTGAAACTGAAAACTTTATTAATGCCATTGTCTCCTTGTATCAGCAGGTTCCAGAGAGATTCCTGGAAGTGGCTCAGATCACGTTACGAGAGTTTTTCAATGCCATTATCGCAGGCAAAGATGTTGATCCTTCCTGGAAGAAGGCCATATACAAGGTCATCTGTAAGCTGGACAGTGAGGTCCCTGAGATTTTCAAATCCCCAAACTGCCTACAAGAGCTTCTTCATGAGTAGAGATTTCAAAAACTATTTATGAATGTATGAGAAGTAGCAGTCCCCTTTTGATGCCCAAGTTGTGTGTATCTTTATTTTAATTTCCTATATAGGTATATCATATACATATATGTGTGTATGAAATCAGACTATAGGGGGCTTTTTTTTTTGGTCAGTTACAAGGGGGAATAGTTATTTTACTTCACCCTTCAGTTTACTTTTGCCCAAGACCCTTAACATTTGGAGAATAAATGGGGTTAATTTTCAGGGAGAAGAATTTTGAAGTGTGTAAAAGCCTGTCTTAGCAAGTTAGGGCATTATGTTTTAAAATGCTTTGTCAGATTTATTGCTTGCTGCAAAGTGGCATTTTGTCTGAGTGAGACTCATGTCACGGCACAATATTACAAACAATGAAGTTTATATTATGTTTATACTGCTAAAGGTCTGAACTCTGTGAAGTTACTTCATAAGCTTAGAGCATTATTTTATTTTATTTTACTTTGCTTTTTAACAAATAAGGTAGATTTTGTTTCATATTTTTAAAAACTACAAACATCCATTTTAGGTTCTCACTCCAAAAAGTGATACCCCAAAAAGGCAAACCCTATTCTTCAAGCTTTCCCTTACACGAATAACATGTACCCTGCCCCAGTAATTAACATGCCAGGTAATTTTTTTTTTATTGAGGCAAAGCAATTTTGCACAAAACAGATACTATTCTTGCAGGGGGAAGCCAGTAATTCATGCACAATATTGTATCAACCACACTAATTTTATAATATGGTCAGCTTACTTAACCGGAAGCATTTCACTCTCCATAAAGTAAAAACAAAACCTTTCATCGTGCTATATTGCTGTGTGTTGGTCATATTTTAATTGGCTCTTAGCTCTTGAAATTTATTCTTTACTCAGTTTTTTTTTCCAGGCATAAAAAGATTGCTGCCTATATTTGATAGTTAGTATTTTGCCCTGAAAAGCAATTTTTTGAATTACCTTTATATAGCAAAAGAAAGCATTTTAGCCCAAAAGCTCCGAGGCAAAAAGGCCCTTTGTTTGTAGCTGTAAAATATAATCAATCTTTACGTAGTCACAATCATAAAAATAACATTTTTATAAAAATCCAGTAAACCACACACAAAATTTACAGTAGTGTACTGTTGACTATGCAGAGTTAAGATGGCCAAATTTAATTTTTGCATTACTGGTAAGTGCGTCATCAAAAACAAATCTATCTGATCAGAGTGCCACATTTGCGTTCTAAAGCAGAAGATGGTATTGACCAAAATATGAGTACAGTGTAAAGTATATGAAAGTTTTGGATTCATCTGAATGATATGTCACAATATGTGAACATAATGCAAGAAAGCTAGCTGCTAGTTTTTATGCTTTCTTCAGTGGTTCTCCTTTTTATTTTCACATTTTCAAAAAGGTATAGTGTCCAATAGTTTGGGGTTGTTGGTTTTTTTAAAGATTCAATGGCACTATGTATTTGTTATTTTCTCTGTCATCTTTTGCACAGATGCAGTAAGAATTTAGTGTTATTTTGAATTGTATTTTCCCCTTAGGTAATTTGATACAAATCTAGAGAAAGTTACAGAATAGCCAGTAATATTTAGGCCATCTAGGACATCAATATTTTATTTCTTTAACTTTATTTTAAAATTGCATTTTGACTTTGGAGAGTGAAAGTTTACCCATGTGACTAAAGAGCTGACCTGATCATTGCAATTTCACTTCATTTACAAATACTGCTGATAGACAGAAATGTATGAAAGCAATTATTGTCAGCACAAAGCCTTAAAAACCTGCTGACTTCAAATTAAACAGCACAATCCTGCGATGCCCTGTCATTATTTTCAAGTACTGGCAGTATCTGTGGAGTATAGGCAATGCAGACAATAGCATGGGATGAAGTGCCAACATTTTCACTATGCATTAAAAGCAAAACAAATCTTCTTGATCTTAAACTCCCTGTGAGTACCTAATACTGTAGGCATCCATAGAGTAGACAGCATGTGTCATTCTTTTATTTTGTGCATGATTTGGTAACTATTACACTTCGTAAAGATGTAAATCCAATCAGTTCCAAGTAAGAAAGAAGGAAAATTGTGTTCATGCACTTTTTTTTTTCTTTTTTATTGTTATGGGAGGAAGGGGCATAAAATGCTCAAGTTCTAATACGATTAGTTCTTCACTGGCAACCCATTAAATACAAAATATAACACTGCATTGCCTCCTTGGACATAATAAAGTAAAGCCATACTTTAATCATACTACATGGACATATTACTAAATACCGTCTCGATCTGTGATATAACCATTACTTTTATTATATTATATTCTTCTTATTATTATATTATTTGGCCTCAATGTGATTCTAATAATCTAAATAAGTGAAACTGTGTACTCAACACTAGATGTTGTTGCATTTATTTATTTATTTATAAATAGCATAATCTCAATAGTAAATGAGGCATAGGAATTAAGAATAGAAATTTCATTTTAAAGAGAGAGAAAAATCAGTTTTTTGACCTGGAAAAAAAAATTGGATCATTGCAGTTATGGTGATTTTACTGCATTATAGCCATATTGCCTTTGTGCCTCCCAATGCATTAAAAAATATAAAGATAAATATACGGCATAACTCTTACTAAATTGTAAATAGAAATCAGAATCTATCAAACAATCTCAATACTGTTTACTTAAAAACAATGGCTAAAAGGCAGGAGGCTACTTTTATTGTAACGAAAAAAGTTTACGTAGGGAAAGAATTTAAAAATCCATGTAGAAATCCCATGTTGCCATTCATTTACTGCTAATTCAGATTTATTTCTGCATATAAACTTGAGGTTGTAGTCTGTGCCTAGACCTTAAATGCACCAGCGGAAGGATTAAAAAAATCCTTCAAAATACCAGTTTTTTCCCCACAAGTACAATTGTTCTTGTGCCTTCTGTGGCTTACAATTTTCATCTTTTAAACATTTTTTTTTCAATTACTACAGCTGCAATAAACACTAGATTTTTTTTTCCGGCTGTTTGACATAATGTTGATAGCTATGCATATTTTGTGTCTTTTTAAAAAATTTAAAAAAACAAAACAAAACAAAGCAGGAGAATACGTTTTTGAAGAAGAGAATTTTTAGAACAGTTTGATAATGCAAATTATTTTTTTCTCAATTGTTTGAGCAGCATTCAAGTTTTGAAAATTCTTGTAGAAGCCAATTTTTTGTAACTGTGGTGCAAATCTTGTGTTTTCTTAGCATATTGAAAAGTAGTATAGAAGCAATATTTCATACGCAATATCTATGTGTATACATATACACACACATATACATACATGTAGACATTACATAGATATGTTTTTATGTATATACACACATAAAATATGCGTATGAAGTGAAAAGCTTACCTTTTTCCTATCTAGATTAAGAACCTATTTTAGACATTTGTTATGTTTTGTGAAAAGAATGTTCTATTTGAAATTACAAAACATTTAATTCTTACTGTATCTCTGGTTGTTTAATGGGAACGTTTCACACTAAATGGTAAACATGTGGAAGATGTTAGAATGTAGTAATTATTTAAGGAAGTGTTCACCCATGTATTCCTGAGGTTTGCTTTGTGCCTCTGAGTATTATTTAATTAAAAGTGTTTTAAGTTTGCAGAATCTTTGTTACTGTACCAGGTATGTGGGTGAACATGGAAAACTGAGGGGAACTTTTATAAAGCAATGTAAATATTCAATCTTATGGTTGTTCTTGCATAAAGACATAAGATTTTAATAACTACATTCTGAAAACATCTGCTGAAATTTATAAGAAACACTACAGTAACTGTATAGATATAAAGCATTCTTGAAAATCCAGCTCTCTGCTTTTAAATGATAAGTCTCTTTCATCAGATGTCAAGGGCATAGGTGATACAGTTTCTGTACAATTACACAATTTTTTTCTATGTACATGAAGTCATTTAATAGCAAAATGTTTTTTCCACAGGTTAATATTAACTAAGAAATAAGGGTGAAGATTTTGTGGCTTTAAAGATAGGATTTTCACCAGCAGCATTGAAAGAGATATATATATATCTATCTATAGATAGATAGATATATAGAAAAAAATGGAAAGTGGTTTACAAAACCCCCAAAATGAGCACTGTACATGAGAAGTGAAAGCAAAAACTATATTTGCCATGTGTATTATATAGACATCATTGGTGTTAATAGTGCAAATGTTTCCTTCTGGTACCAACTATGTGTTTGAAAATTCCAATAAGCATTGTTTTCAAAAAGCTCCCCTTAAGGAATGTAACTGGTTTATATGAGTAAGCAGTTACTGTATTGCACTTAAATGTTCTGTTGAAGGAAATGCAATTTTGTTTTCTGTAGAACTGTTGGTTGTAAACCATCTATAAACTGAAGCTGAAAATGCTCATATTTAGAGCTGGGATGAAAACTGGTATTTAACCTTTGCATCTTCTTAGGAATATCTTTTTTAATGTCTGAAAGGTGGTGGCATTGTGACTTTTTAGTCTCTTCATCTGAGCCACAATCACCTCTCTTCCCTAAGCAGCCACCTTCAAAAATGCACAATTGTACTAGGATATGTAGAAGCAAATCTAGAAGAAACAACAAGTTTATATTTTACCTAAAACCCAATCCTTGCTGAAAATTTTAAAATGCATTAAAGTACTGCTCAAGTGGGGAAAAACCCAACAACAAATACTATAACAAGAATTTGTTATTTTCATGTAATATGAAATCAGGAGTCAGAAAAATGCATCTTAAGTTGGTTTTACTGCTGCCCAGAAGAGTCAAAGGTTAAGGTTTAAACTGATATTGTCCCAGCCATTACTCATATGTATATAGTTACAAAAGTGACAAAACACTGCCTTTATATTATTTAGCAATATGTTGTAAATAGCATTATTAAGCTCTTTTTTGTAATAAAGACCCTTTAATTTGAAGATAGAACAATAACTGAACTGATAAAGTCAATTTTTGTTTTTTTTTTATTTTATTTTTTAGCTAGAGGCAATTTCAACTGTGGATTTTTTGTTGTTGTTGTCTATTGTTCTGAAGACTTTGCATAATTTATTGGTTTAATTTATCCTAATTTATTTGATGAAGGTGTACAATTTTGTATTACCAAGGATGTACTGTAATAATAATTGATAATATGATAAAAACAATAAGACTCCCCTGTCCATATGGAAAAAAAAGTGCAGTAGACAATTGACTGAAAAAAAGTTACAATTCTAGCTTGGCAGCTACTAAATTAAAAAGAAAAGAAACAGGAAAAAAATTGGGGGGGGGGATTTTATTTTGTGTGTTTTAAGCTTTTGTATACTCTCCAGACTTTTACCTTTTTGCTTTGTACCACTTAAAGGATACAGTAGTTCAATTGCCTTGTGTGCCTTCCATCTTCTCTAAACTGAATGTATGTGCAGTATATATGCAAGCTTGTGCAAAATAAAATATAAATTACAAGCTCATTGCCATTGTTTATATTTCTTTCTAAAAAATATTTCTTTATTGAGTCCCAAAACAAAATGTGAATTACTGGAATAAATTTACGGTGAGAGATTGTAATCCCATTTACGGTTACTCCCCACCCCCACTCCCTATTTGGAATTATTTGTTAATGAAACCTGCCATCTATCTTACAAAACTAATATATATTTCCTATGGCATTTGGGATGCTTACAGTAAACAGCTATATTCTGTTCCTACAACTTGCTGCTGTTATTAAATGTTATTAAATGGCACCTTAGGCCCAGATCCTGTAAACACTTATGCACATGCTTAACTTTAAGCACGTAAGTGGTATTTATGTATTTAAACGCAAAGAAACCGTATAAAGTCTCCATCCCACAAATACTTATGCACCTGTTTACCTTTAAATTCTCCATTATAATTAAAAACATAAACATAGCAATTGCCATACTGGCTCAAACCAATGATCCATCTAGTCCAATATCCTATTGGCCAAGATGTAAAACCTCCACAATGCATGTAATTTTGTAATATATCACACAATTTTTTTTCCTGACTGCCTAATGTGCAGGTCATGTCCTAAAGCATTAGAACTGGCAGCCCTTTAGACCAGTTTTAGCTAGAATAATCTCAGAAGCTATTTTTATTCATGACAGCATTTAATCATTTCCCCAGTGTATTTGCTTCATCAATGTCCTGTGACAGTGAGTTCCACAAGTTAGTTAGATGTTGCATAAAGAAGTATGTCCTTTGACATGGTTTATGTTTGCGGCTTTTATTTCATCATCTTTCCCCTTGTTTTTATACCATCATAAAAGAAGCAGCATCCACATGGCAGCCTCTATCATTTTATCATTATTTTAAATACATCTATTAGGGATCCTCCTTTCCAAACTAAATAGTCCTCAGCATGTTATGCTATCCTTATGCAAATTAATTCCTTACATGCTATACCGCTAATAATTTTAATTGTTCTTCTCTACATCTTGACTATTTCTGATGTTGGTTTTAATTAGTTGGTTGTTTTGTTTCGTTTTTTTAAGATGAGAAAAACAATGTAGCAATCAAGGTAGGAATGTATCATTGGTTTACATTAAAATACTTCTGTAGTCTTTTCTTTCCCTGTCTTAAGTGAGTCGAGCATCTGATTAGCCTTGAACTGATATACGTGGGCTTTTATAGGGTAGTTTATTTTCAGCATGCAGTCGTTGACTTTTTTTTTTTTAAAGGAGAAGTGTCTTGTAAATGTTTTCATCTAAGATCATTTCTTCTCAGATTTTTGAGTGATACAGCCTTTAGAGACCACAGCAATGATCTGAGGGCGGTATATAGCCTTTAGCTTGCATTCAAACTACCAAATGAGTACTTCATCTCTCCAGCTGTAATTAAAACTGTGGGTCTTTGAGAGCTCTGTGGTACAGTGTAATCATACTATGGGATAATGTCCATTAAAGGCAATGGAATTGCATCCATAAGGCCAACAGTGATTTCGGTCTGAGATGTTCTCCTTTGACCTGTATCACAAATAAATTCACTGGTGGTTCTCTTGTCTCTCCCCACTTAGACACATTACAAACCCACCACACCACTGGTCAGGAATCGTGCTGCTCAGGACTATTTCTTAAGAAACTGGCTGACACGTGGGAATTTGCTAATTTTCTGGGTTATCTGGGGGGCTGTCAACACCGGGCCATGAATGATGGAGGTCTGACAAGATTAACAGGAGGGCTGTGCTGACACTCCAGAAACCCTTACCTTCAAACCTGTGCTCCTATGGCTTCAGAATGGCCATAACGTCCAGGAGGAAGCTGCTATGGGACCCCAAAATGGCTAAATGCTGGGAGGGGTAGCTAATGAATAAGAGCAGGCAAGCAAGGAGAGAGAGGCTAGCCATTTGCTCAGCCAAGAGCAGAGCAGGGGCTTATGGAAGAAACGAAAGTTATGTGGGACAGCTTGTTTTGAAGAGGGGGGGAAAGGGCATTTACTAGCTCAAAGAGAGTGGCATGTCTTGTATTGAGGCCGGCATTTGGGGGAGATAGCCCTCAGGTTCCAAGAAAGGGTACCTCAGGGTCTCAAGAGCTAAGGTGCATTGGCAGAGCTGTAAGCATAGTGGCTACCGCCACTCAGCCTGTCTGTAGACAGTGCAGTTAGCCCCTCACAATTCTGTCATGACATTTCCCTCTCAAAATAAATTTATTATTTGAAATACAAAACACCATTTTTCATTTTACCCTGCATTTGGAAATGCAAAGAGGTTCAAACTCAGAGCATTGGGTACCCCAGAGCACTGGGGACGTTCAGATCTAGACTGGAACTTTGCAACTAGCCCCTATCTTTCTAAGCAACCAAGCCAAACTCCCCTGGCACCAAATGCCCTGGACGTTTGGAGAAGTTCAGTGCCACACTTTACAGCTCTATTTGGAAGTTCCTCAGCGCTGCTATGTGGAATTATCCAATTAGGTAAATCTCTCTGTCATTGATAATAACACTGAGACCTAATAGGTCTTCCCCATCACCAGTGTCCACAAGACCGAATGCAGAATGTTGCACTGTGGTTTGCGCATGCAGGGGTTAATTGCTCTCATTATCTTGGTCTCTACCCGAATTTATGCCCAGCCTAGGCTGTGCCAATACAATTTCCATGGAGATGATCATTCTGAGTCTTCCTTCTCTGTTAAGAGGAACAGCGAATTGACTGTTGCTTTGCTGATCTATTACCATCTTTTGGAAATGAAGGGAAATAAATAAGTCACGCCTCTGGATGCGTTGCAGCATTTCCCCCAAACAAAAGGATCTGATTCAATGCAGATTATCCTTTTTCAAAAAAAAAAAGCTCAAAGGATGTACCGTATAGAAGAATACAGCACAGACCAAAAGAGAAAATAAGATACGTGATTAAACATACTGTTTAGTAGCTGTGGAAAACATACTTTATGGTACCATAATTCTTAAAGTCATCATAAATAAACTGGAGGGTGCATGTTTTTGTTTTCCCCCTTGCTCTGAAAGGATATGTCTACACAGCATTTTGGAGCCTCCCAGCCCAGGTTAACACTCTAAAAATAGCTGCATTGTCAGTGGTTTGACGTTGTGGCTTGGCCTGGAGCCTGAGCTCTGAAACTCGCCCCCCCCCCCCCGACTTCAGACCCAAGACAATGTCAAAACACTGGCTACACAGCTATTTGTAGAGCACTAGCGAGAACCTGTCCACCTGGGCTGGGAAGGTGTGTAGACGTACCTGACGAATCCGAGTCAAGTAACTTTCAGGGCATATTGCAAGGTCTATCTGTTTTCCCAGGATTTCAAGAAAGGGAAGGGTGAGAGTGGTTTAAAGATTGATGGGGGAGTCCATAATTTATGGTTTATTTTTGAGGTTTTTTAATGTACCTAGAAGAGGTGAAAGGAGAGGTGAAGAATTTTGCAGCAGTTCAAATCAATCCTGTTTGGCTCAGGTTAGCCTGGCGCCTTCCAGACCTGCAGTGCATAGTGAAACACTGACTCCCATGCAAAGAATGGAATTCCCCACCACTGCCCTCTGCCCAGAGGCCGGGAGAATGGGACTGCATTTTTATGAATAAATCCCTGTCAAATGAATAGTGGTACTTTCCTATTTATTTGGGAGTCAGTGTTAAAACTCATAACAAAACTCACGACAATGAGCTGCTATTTGTGCTCAAAGGAAGTTAATTGCATGCACAGTTTAATTTTATTCTTTAAAGTTAAGCTATGTTTGGGTCTACAGCTTGGCAACAAAAAGGCACACTAGTAGTTAAAGAAACACTACCAGTTCTCCGGTCTCAGTTTGCAAGAGACACGCCAGTTGGGCAGCTGTGGGAAGTGACAGGGGAGAACGCATGTTGGAGAAAGTCTTGTGGCAACAGTGGCCAGTTTCATTATGGCCACTGCCAGACTGTGAAACAACTCTTGGGGCTTGAAATCCTATTGCCTATTAAAACTGGGCATGACAGCTCTTTTTTATGCTTCACCAACCAGAGATAGAGCTGGGTCCTAGGGGAAATAAGGAAAAATATTTATTACAAGTGTTTAACACCTTTTAGTACAAAACAACCCTACTATGCAGCACTCAAGGATAATTCATGCCAGCCCATGTAAAACCAAGGGAAATCACTGATAAACTCAATAATTTGGTCCAAGCTTTCAAAGGAAGAGATGAACCCCCCCAATCAAAATCCCGAGTCCAAACTCCCTGAATTTTGGGGTGCTTTAGATCCTTTTTCATAATGGCTACCATCCCTAGTTCAATAATTTGCTAAAACCCTGGATTCTGACAACCCTCCAAAATTGGGGTCTGACTGAACCCTGGATTTAGATTGAAGAGACACCATTTAAAATGGAGATGTATCCACATTAGAGGCCTGGCTACTATGGTGAGCGTATTTAGTAGAAGTGGGCCATGTCACAAAACTCGGATCTGGATCTTGAACACCTCAGTGCAGGGCTTTGATTCTTTATGAAGACAATTAAGTGTCATTATCCCCATGTTACAGATGGGGAAACTGAGGCACCGGTTGGTGATGTGACTTGCCCAAGGTCAAACAGTAAGTCAGTTGCAGAGCCAGGAATAGACCCAAGCTCCCTGGACCCCCCTCCCCACTCTCATGTTCAGTACACTGCCAATCTTCAGTGTTACTTATTAACATTTACTGTTACTTGTTAACAGTCTGGACAAGGTCTTCATGGCCAGTCCTTGAAAAGCCCCCATTTTAAATTGTGCAATCTGCATGCTGTTACTGTTCCAGTTTTATTTCCTAATATAAGTGCTGCTGTCTGGCATCCTTTGCATCCTATGATCTACCGGCGTCAATATTTTTTAATATTGTTTACCCAGTGATATGCTTTCCTGGAATTAAGGAGATACAGAGATATTGGTGGTTCTCATCTACATGCTACTGTCACTGTTTGAGGATGTTCTAGTGCCTGTTTTTCCTGCCCCTTCTGGAGAGTGGGGAAGGGGCTAATGACTGTACAGCATTCTGCC